CATATAGATGAGGTCACGAATTTAAATGTCAGATGAAAATTCACAATTACATTAAACGAAATTAAAAATAAAATTAAATACACCAATTAATTACACATTGGACATATTACTATTATGGTACAGTTACATAAAAAAATAAATATTATTAGATAAATTAATGAGAGAAAAAATAGTTTCGGTGGAAATAAAATAAAAGCACACAACACCAACACCTCCGCACCCAAGCAACAAATTTCTGGATATTCAATTTTAATTTTCTGTAGTACTAATAAAGATATATGAGTTTTTTTGTTATTAGCTGTTCGTAAAGGACATTTGGCAAAAATGTATGGACGCTGCACCCACGTCCGCCACGGCTTAAACTACATTTGTTTGAAAGGTATTATAGTCAGGATCATCTGTGCCAAAGCGCATCAAATTCCATCCCGGGGCTACCAGGATATTTTTTACGGTGTCATATCTTTTGACTACCAGGATATTTTTTTACGGTGCCATAATAAACAAGCTAGTTTTTCATAGATCTATCGATTCATAATAATTACATTGGTGTCAATTCTGGCTTGATTCTCTAAACTTAAAACTAAATTTATAATCAGTCTCTTCTTTTCATTCTGTATAGAGAATGACAAGGATACACTGTTGTCAAATTTAAGTTTAGATTTAGAGAATCGTGCCAGAATCGACACCATTGTTGGCGAAGCTGGGTGTGTTTTGCCCATTATCCTTTGCTTAAGCTCACAGTTCTCACAGCATCATGTTATTTATAGTCACCTCAAAATCAGTTAGCAAAAGCTTGTCTAAAGTCGGAAAGCGATTAGTTAACCCTAATTGGTGTGCTATCAATTATATTATCTGTGACGCGCGCGATAAATTAGGCGGGGGGCACACGCCGAACGTCCCGGATAGAAAGCTTCATGTAAACACAGGACTTTCCTGTTTTCTGTTTAAGCTGGGTGTACACTGGTGACGTTTATATATCTATATATATAGTGTAATTGAATGTTTTAATGAAACCTCGTGAGATTGTTGGGTTACGAGTATAGAGTATGCCTGATTTTTTTCGGATTTTTTTGAAGTAGTTTTTTTCATGTATTTATTTACAAAATTTTATTTTTAATCATTTTTTAAAAAATCCGAAAAAATTCAGAGATACTCTACATACGTAACCCAACATTCCCACGAAGTTTCATTAAAACATTCAATTTCACCCTGTATATATAAAACTCAAAGGTGACTGACTGACATAGTGATCTATCAACGAACAGCCCAAACCACTGGACGGATCGGGCTGAAATTTGGAATGCAGGTAGATGTTATGACGTAGGCATCCGCTAAGAAAGGATTTTGATCAATTCTACCCCCAAGGTGATAAAATAGGGAATGAAAGTTTGTATGAAAAATGAAAATGAAATGAAATGACTAATACCTTCAGCTCTACACCGAAACGAAGCGAGGGCGGGCCGCTAGTTTATTATATTTGTGCACACCCCGACCGGGACACGGCGTCAAGCTGTGAGTGTTGCATTAGGTATTAGTAAAATAACAGTTTTTTTTTTGATATTCAGGTAAAATTAAAACGCAGCACAACATTAAACCGGAACTATAACCGCCTTATCCCAAAACGCGGACTAAACTTAATCTTGGTTTAAACCTAATGTGGTCTCTGTCTTATGTTTAGCAAACAAAAGTGACAACACCCGTATTAGTTCAGGTTTAACTTAAATTTACATTTTGTAATAAGGCGGTAAGTGATCACACATATTGACATACACTTCTTTATAGACTGGTAGATTTAGTTGAAATATGTAATATACTGAAGATTTAAACCTTTGGAAATATTATTGTTTTATTTGCTTAGGTATATTTCTGCGCAAAGTAGGAGTATTTCCTTATTACAATAGGTATAATGATTTTCTTTCTTGCGTTAGCAGCGGAGAATGTGTAATGGTAGGTTTGCATAATAAGGATTTTTGTATTCGCTGTTTGTAAATTTGAAAACAGTTTATCATGAAGAAAAGATATAAAAAGCTATAATTTTTTAAAGCATGTAACTAACTGCTTGATGTTTAAATCTAAAAATATAACTGGAAAAAAATATGATATATAAATAACTTTTTCCTTAGATATAAAAAGCTGTTAAATTCATGAAAAGTAAATACAAATAGCCATATGAACTGCCAGCATAAAAAAATGACAGCTCAGGTGCTCGGTGTGCCCCGGTATTTAGCGGCCACTGTTAGACCACCGACACGTGTTAACAAGTGAGCTTAGTCGATAAGCTGATTTATCGTCACTGCCTCCGCGTCGACAAGTCGATACGTCACGTCGACGGTCTTCGGCGGTCGTCGATCATCGGCTTCAACACGGCGGCCGTTTTTCGCTAATTAACCCTTTTTGAACAGTAAGTGACCGATTCGAATCTTCGGTGATGTATTGTGCATCTGTAGTATGATATTCATTCATTTGGAGCTGTGATGAATCATTCATTGAAGAGGTGGTGACACGGCCACGTTAGCATTGTTCGGTACGTCACAATAGTCGTGATATTCAGATGTCAGTCACCATCCGATGTTATCTGTTCGGGCGCATGCTTTCACTTAAACGATAAAGGTAATTACTGTCCCCGAAATTTCTCATATAAAAACAGTTATTTTCCGTTGATCGGCTTTTCTATTTGACTATCGTTATATTTTGATAGCGGTTTCAATTGATCATAAGGCTATCTATTATTAATTACTATTAATATGGTAATGATAATTAACTAGCTAAAAGCACCGTGTGAGCTAATTACCTTATCACATAAAAAACGAAATAAGACATTTCCTACACTAATATTCGTTTTCATTTATTTAAATGAAAATCATTGACATTAACTTCATTTATGTCATAAAAAGAAACTAAAGGCAAAGAAGGTAAAAGGATTGATGCCTCTTCAGAAAGGGCCTGGCCACATGACCACAGCATGGCACTGAAGAGTGGTATGTTGTCATGTCATGCAGATTTACTCTGCTGTACTGTGTTGAGAGGATATACTGCATGGTGCTTCACTTAATGAGTTTCTATGTAATGTGCAAGGACTACAACCTAATATTTACCTTACGTTTAGCAAACCAATGTAATTAGTAAATATGTTAATAAATAAATATGTAACTTTCTAATGCGTATGAGCTACAATATTGGATCATTTCCTCTACGAATGAGGCGGCGACTCCCGGCGAAGGCGGCGGTGGCCCCAGGGGTGCGCCCAGGGGAATACCAAACAATGAATTGACGCTGCAAAGACATACATGGCAATGCCATGTACTGTTACTTGCCTATCTGTAGGCGCCGCTAACTGCTTCAAATCAATTATATATATCTCAGGAATTTAACAAACCGAATTGCGGTGAATGTTCTATAAACGCTTGTGCAGACTGTAATGCTTAAGTAATGCCTTTAGTATACTGTTATGAAGAAACCCGGTAATCTGACAGAGATGCAATATAGGAAATCAGAGGCAGATAGAGCGTCATGCAACATAAACGATGACAGATTACCGCAGTTGCGGTACGATGCTACGGTTCGCCGCGTGGGTGTGCTACAGGTGTTTAAGTTCAAAAATTTCGAGCGATATTGTTGACGCGCGGCCGAGTGGACTTAAGTTTTAGCGTTGCATTTTAAATTGTCTCTTGGAAGGGTTGATTCTTTGCATTTGCCGAAGTAATATTAAATTATTTAAAGCTTTCATTTCGACGTTGTTTTCGAATGCAGCACTGCCTGATTCCTTTTTTTTGGTCATATAAATTATTAGTCTCTGATGATATCTACCGTCTAAATTATGTCGATCTAAATAAAAGTCAAAGATAAGTACAATAACCTCTTTTTTTTATAGATAGGTCCGACAAATGACTCCACCCCACCTGATGTTAAGTGAAGGTGAAGTCCAGACGCGAAGATAGCTGATACAGCAGTTCTACCTGCCACACCAGTCATCCTCACCCTGCCGGCCTGCATGTTGCTTCTTCACGCCTCTTTTAAAGCATCGCAGGTTGTAAGAGGGACGGAACACGTGAGCGGGCAGAGCATTCCATTTACGGATAGTCCGACAAAGAAATGAGTCACCAAATTTATTTGTACGCGGTGGGATTGTGGCCACAGTTAGACGGTGACAACGTAGGCCAGCGCGCGTGGTCCTCTGAAGAAAAGGGGAAGGTGGGATAAGAGAGAATAACTCCTCAGAACACTCGCCGTGGTACAGACGATACAACGCGCTTAGTGACGCCACGTCACAGCGTAATTGAAGAACCTCTTTGATAAATAAAATATTTTGTCGATTTTCGTATTTTCAATAAGTGTAGTAGATGACCCTCGCCACAACAAATAGAGTGAAGATACATTACATACTTATTCAGACAACGGAGAAAGTATCTGCAGCAAGAACAATGACGAAAGTAGATTTTGGGAAAGGATTTTTACAGTAAAGTTTTCTAGTCCAGATAAAACCATGAGATTAGTTAAGATAAAAACGGAGAGTGGAGATTTAGTCAGACCTGTGTGTAAATTGTATCCGGTAGAAATACCGCATGACGAGAGAATACAGGTTAGCAATAGTGCGATAGAGAAGACTGATCAGGAAAAAGAAGTTGTGAAGGAAAATAAAATAGACGAAGAGGATCCAGAGAAGGACGTAGTGCTGCAGAGGGACCCAGCGCCTTGTATCACCCGCAGTAGACGACAGGTTAAGCTACCCAAAAAACTTTGGCAGTGAAGTTTGTTTTTCAATTTTCTACTGGAAAGATGTCGAATGCAACACTGGCTAATTCTGTTTTTTTATAAAAAATATTAGTCTCTGATGATGTTAATTGTCAATGTATTTCGAACTAAATAAAAGTCTATAAAGTAAAATATTTTTACGATATTCGTATTTTCAATAAGTAAAGTAGATAATCTTCGCCACAGTTGTGTGATCATGATCACAGAGCGACAGATCCACCCATTCACTGCGGCTAGTCATAAGAATAGAAATAACTAAAAGACAACATTCGGAACTCAATATCTCTAGTCATACTAGTAGTATAAGTCAGTTTCTTCATAAGTTCTTTTCGTTGTCAGTGCAGTGCTCCTGGTCGAGAGCGCTGCAGGATCTGGTGTTGAAGACGTCGGTGTAAACGTTGTCTCCGAACGTCACGTATGACAGCATGCCCATCAGCTGCGAGACGCCGCACTTCTGCACCAGCCCTTCGTTGGAGTTTATGGCTGTCGGTGCAGTGCTCCAAGCATAGCGAGCGTAGGACCCTGGTGATCCAGCGCCTGGTGTTCAAGATACCGGTGTAAACGTTGACCCCGCGTGCTACGTACGACAATACACCCATCAGCCGCAGGCCGCCACTCTTCTGCACCAGACCATCTCCGGAGTCATCCCTGATACCATAAGTTTACTCATCATTACCAACCTTTAGTCGCTTACTGCTGCTGAAGTAGCCTTAAATCTATGTAACAATAGAATTGCGTAGGGAGTAGAAGCCGAAGACCACGACACAAATGATAATGCTAGTAAACGGACAACGTTGCTTCGATAAATTATCGTGTTGTACCTGGTAAGGTATTGTACAAAAGTTATGATTGAGAAAGTAGGTTTATAACGTTGAATATAGATGTACAAATTGGATCAGCAGTTTTTGTCAATGAATGATACTTTTTATCCCAGCCAAAGCTCTCCTAAGGATTAAGTTGCTAGAAGCAGAAGTTAATGAAAAGAAGATTTGTCATACATGTGCATATGCCCCATCACGGGTACGGTGCAGAGCAGGGTGGGCGTGATCCTGATGTCAGAGTAGTTGCTGCATATACTCCGGGACACGGCGCGCTGCATGGACACCCTCATGCTGCGAAACCCAGGCAGGTCGGGCAGCTTGAAGTTGTTTACCTGTTACCAAGAGACAGGAGTTCTTACGACAGGTAGGACTTTGATTCCGCTCGAATTAAAGTGCTCCCTGTATCCAAATTAACTAGTTAGCTACATTCTTCTGATGTCTAAGTAGTTGTTCTAAATACTCCTGGACACTGCCCGCTGCATGAAAACTACTGAAACCAGCCACGGAAACCGGGCAGGTTTCGGTAACTTGAATTTGTTTATCTGCGCATGTAAACGAGACAGTAGATTTAACAAGAGGTGGCATATTGGTCCCGTTACAGCTAGCTTCTTAGCACGACTGGCTGAAGCGGCACATCTTGTACCGTATCAGCTATTTTTGTAACAGGATACCACTCAGACTAAGCATCAGGTGGTGTCGCGCAGTTTTTTAGGCTTAGTATAACCAAAAAATAAATAAAATGTGCAACACAGCGAACTAAGACGCAAAAAAGGAGATTTCAAAAACAAACTTACAGTTTGTTTGCCCCATCCTACAGAATACACGATAGAATCCGCCGCTGGGTTCGTAGTTGCAAGAGGGATCTTCTGAATGGAGGGCGAGAGTGTCACTCGTCGGTTGAAGAACGCCACCGCAATGTTGTGCCTACCCGTGGTCTCCAGGTACTTGGGATGCACCCGGTAGTCTAGCACGGGTCTCAGGACCCTCGCGTGCTTGGGGATGACAGAGCCGAGGTAGGCGTCGATGGAGCCTCGTCCATACCGTAGCTCGTCCACGCAATGCGCTGCTGTTACCACCGCCTGCTCCGACACCAGTGAAGATCCGCACGACGATGGCCTGGTCCCACGAAAATGAAGGAATACCGCGTGAGGGTAACTCTGAATCGCCGCTTCGTAGCCATGGTAAATGCGCCTCTGTGATCCCTTAATGTTATGAGAGTTATTCGCTCTCACGCCGGCGCTGGCGACCATGAAAAATAATAATTTGAACATTCGCAACGATTTAATTGAAGCAACTGAAAGAGCTGCAAATTAATTGTTTAATCAGTGACTGCGTTTCGATGAAACGTGTCCGTTTCATTAGTTAGAACTTAATGTATTTATTTATGACTCCTGAGCAGGTCGAGAATTGATTGAACACTATCGATTACGATTTGAAATGTCAAAGAGAGCTGCTTCACTTAAAGCAATAATAAAAATATTTTAGAGTCACCTAAACATCGTTAGGTCATTTCGTTACACAATATAATGAAAAAAAAAAATAAAAAATGTGTGTGTCAGCTCCGACGCACGACCGGAGTTTACACTCTAAAAACGATTGTCTTTGAACAGACACAAAACAAAATCAAGTCCGAAGAAGTCGGTTACAAGTATCGATACCTCAGGAATCGTCCCATGGTTTCGACTATCATAGGTTCCATGTCACACATTTTATCATCTAACATCAGCGATATTCATCATATACAGGCGTCCCACGGCTACCTCACACGGAGGAAAAGTATATTAAATATTGAAGATAGGATATTTTACTGAAAGAAAACATCATTTAATTTTTAATAACTAGAACTGCATTCACAGATTTTTTTTAAAATCGCCTGCTACAACTGGGAATCAAACTCGTGAAATTTCGAAAAAAAAACACGACATATTTTATAATAACCATCGAAAGGGTTAATCATAAGGATTATGTTTTGCTAAATAACATAGCATTTTAAATGAAAGGAATGTCTTATTACGTGATAAAAATAATAAAGTGATATACAAATTGTAGTACGTATGCATTTCTTTTTTAATTCAGTTACAATGCGATTGGCTGAAATTTATATAATAACTAGCAAACCAGTGAACCAAATGTTCACCAAAAAAAAAAAGAACCGGAGATTTTGTGTGTGTGTTGAAATAGAAATCACGTGATTTCTCGTAAACCGGAAGTGCTACCTTACTCAAATCCGGTTTATAGTCTTATCAGACTATTCTTAACTTATAACTTAAACATTCTCTTTATCTATCTCTTACGGTTTGGCCGCTGAAACAGCACCACGGACGGACGGACGGACGGACTTGTCTAATAGATAAGAGATAATTCGAAAAAGGACCATATAAATTTTCAAGCCTGTGTTCTTTTATTTTTCGTAAGTTTCATTTTCGTTTATTTGCATTTTTTTGTTAATTTACTTACCATGGCGCATCAAAATAAAATAGATTTAATGTAAGCTTACTTTATGAACCACAAAGACATATCATTAGCTTAGCGGTGGTACCGCAAAAAATATCCTGATAGAGACAAATCTTCCCGATATGTGTTTAAATAATGAAAGAAAGATAGAGATAAAGAAAGATTTTAATAAGCCATGGTAAGTAAATTAACAAAAAATTGCAAATAAATGAAACTCACAAAAAAGAAAAGAACAGCAAAAAATAATCCTTATGATTAACCCTTGCGATGGTTATCATAAAATATGTGTTTTTTTTTCGAAATTTCACGAGTTTGATTCCCAGTTTTAGCAGGCGATTTTAAAAAAATCTTTGAATGCAATTCAAGTTTTTATTAAAAAAAAATGATGTCTTCTTTCAGTAAAACATCCTATCTTCAATATTTAATATACTTCCCATCCGTGTGAGGTCCATTTTTAATATATTTCCTAATATGTATACTAAATTCATGATTAAATATGTTTCATTCTATTATCAGCTCGGTTAAGGTCGATGTAAGATAGGATCTTATACTAATATTATAAAATAGTCTCATCAGCTTTCTGCATTCTTGATAAGAATTGACGTCTTTCTGTGTGAATATTGAAACAAGGACATAGATGTCTTCTAACAATTTTTAGTTTGGCTATAAATCCGATAAACAAAACTTTAAATTCTAAATTCAACGTTTGGTATTTGGACAACGGAACCCTAGCAGGTGATATGGATACAGTGTTTCCTGACTTTTTTTTTAATCAAAAATAAATTTGCAGCCATTGGTTTGGAGCCTAATTTTAGCAAATACGAACTTTCTATAAATAACTGCGACTTAAATATAAATGACGAAAAACAATAATTTAATATTTTGGCTCCAAATATTAAAATAGGTAACAGTAATTCTCTTTACCTTTTAGGTTCTCCAATTTTGATGAATATATTTTTGAATATATAATTCAATTACTAAATTTCAAAATTCTGTTGACCGTTTCCTTGAAATTAGTCCACATTATGCACTTTGCATCTTAAAATTCTGTCTTTTCGTTCCAAAATTTACATATGTGCTCCGTTGCACCTTTTGGAATTACCCAGATCTTTTGACACGAGTAGACGACTTAACCAAAATAAGTTTAGAATCGATTCTAGATACCTATATTCTCTCCACCAATCTGGTATGGTGGTTTAGGGATTCGCAAAATTTCCAGTGTCGTTTTACCAGCCTTTCTTTCTTCTGCCCATAGTTCAGCAAATCTCATAAGTAAAATTTTAAGGGAATCCCCTTCAAACTTTGAGATTGCTGGTTTGGCAGAAGCTAGACACGCTTTTTAATTGCATGCTCAGGTCAAAATTTTCCAGACGACATAAACTGTAAATTGACTTTTTAAAATCTTTAAATCTTTAGTACAGGTTCGGCGCGTGCTAGGCTTTTGGCCGTGGGTACGCATGAGGCCGGCTATTGGCTTCACGCGTACCCTTCGTCAAATACAGGAACATTTCTTGACCCTGACACGCTCCGAATCGCAACCTGCATCGGCTTGGGGTTCCGGTCTGCGTTCCTCATAAATGTCCCTGTGGCAGTGATGTCGACAAGCTAGGACATCACGGACTGTCATGCCAAAAAGTGCAGGCCGCTTCTCGACACATGCCGCACTTAACGATATTATATGCCGGTCCCTTGTCACCGGCAACGTGCCAAGTCTACTTGAGCCGACTGGTATTGCAAGAGACGATGGCAAGAGACCGGACGGTATGAGTTTGATTCCATTGAAGATGGGTCGGGTGCTAGTATGGTATGCAACCTGTTCAGACACGCTGGCCCCTTCCCATCTACATGTAACCAACAATAGAGCTGGTGCGGCTTGTGAAGCGGCTAAAGCATGCAAATACAGGGGTCTAGGCTCCAAATATAATTTTGTCCCATTCGGTGTCGAGATTCTTGGTCCGTGGGGTCCTAGCGCTATAAGGCTTTTTAAGGAAATATCAAAAAAGTTAGTCGATATCACAGGAGACCGAAGAGCTAGCAGCTATCTTGGACAAAGAAATAGTCTAGCTGTTCAAAGGGGGAACGCCTTTTCATAATATATTTTAGTTTCTTTATTATATTTTTTAAGGTTTTTAGTTTTTGGTTCTTTGTTCTAGTAAATATATATATATAATTTTTATTATTTTTAAAGCATGTAACTGCTTGATGTTTAAATCTAAAGAAAATATAACTAGAAAAAAATTCCACGTGGACCAGGCAGCAGACGGGACTCGAACCCGCACCCTTCGCAATCCGGGCGAATGCACTGACCAATTATGCTACCGCGGCCCTCACGGACCGCGTCGAAATTCTTTCTAGCTATTCTTAAGCTGCAAGGCAGCGCCATCTCTTCGCATTATAGGTAAGCCCACAATGTCAAATGAATACTTTTACAAGTATTAAACATTTGAAAGAAGAAATAGCAATTATAGTTATAATTTTTATTATTTTTAAAGCATGTAACTGCTTGATGTTTAAATCTAAAGAAAATATAACTAGAAAAAAATTCCACGCGGACCAGGCAGCAGACGGGACTCGAACCCGCACCCTTCGCAATCCGGGCGAATGCACTGACCAATTATGCTACCGCGGCCCTCACGGACCGCGTCGAAATTCTTTCTAGCTATTCTTAAGCTGCAAGGCAGCGCCATCTCTTCGCATTATAGGTAAGCCCACAATGTCAAATGAATACTTTTACAAGTATTAAACATTTGAAAGAAGAAATAGCAATTATAGTTATAATTTTTATTATTTTTAAAGCATGTAACTGCTTGATGTTTAAATCTAAAGAAAATATAACTAGAAAAAAATTCCACGCGGACCAGGCAGCAGACGGGACTCGAACCCGCACCCTTCGCAATCCGGGCGAATGCACTGACCAATTATGCTACCGCGGCCCTCACGGACCGCGTCGAAATTCTTTCTAGCTATTCTTAAGCTGCAAGGCAGCGCCATCTCTTCGCATTATAGGTAAGCCCACAATGTCAAATGAATACTTTTACAAGTATTAAACATTTGAAAGAAGAAATAGCAATTATAGTTATAATTTTTATTATTTTTAAAGCATGTAACTGCTTGATGTTTAAATCTAAAGAAAATATAACTAGAAAAAAATTCCACGCGGACCAGGCAGCAGACGGGACTCGAACCCGCACCCTTCGCAATCCGGGCGAATGCACTGACCAATTATGCTACCGCGGCCCTCACGGACCGCGTCGAAATTCTTTCTAGCTATTCTTAAGCTGCAAGGCAGCGCCATCTCTTCGCATTATAGGTAAGCCCACAATGTCAAATGAATACTTTTACAAGTATTAAACATTTGAAAGAAGAAATAGCAATTATAGTTATAATTTTTATTATTTTTAAAGCATGTAACTGCTTGATGTTTAAATCTAAAGAAAATATAACTAGAAAAAAAAATTCCACGCGGACCAGGCAGCAGACGGGACTCGAACCCGCACCCTTCGCAATCCGGGCGAATGCACTGACCAATTATGCTACCGCGGCCCTCACGGACCGCGTCGAAATTCTTTCTAGCTATTCTTAAGCTGCAAGGCAGCGCCATCTCTTCGCATTATAGGTAAGCCCACAATGTCAAATGAATACTTTTACAAGTATTAAACATTTGAAAGAAGAAATAGCAATTATAGTTATAATTTTTATTACTTTTAAAGCATGTAACTGCTTGATGTTTAAATCTAAAGAAAATATAACTAGGAAAAAATTCCACGCGGACCAGGCAGCAGACGGGACTCGAACCCGCACCCTTCGCAATCCGGGCGAATGCACTGACCAATTATGCTACCGCGGCCC